AACCTTGATTCTTTAATCCCAGTATCAACCATAGAGGCCAGGAGGTCTGTATAGACAGACAGTGACGAGGAAGTCATGTGGCTGGGCTTAGAGCCAATGAGAAGGTAGAACAGGAAAGCAATAAAACTCAAGACACACAGGAAGAAGGTCTTTTTCTCTCTCAGGGGAAGAATGGCAGCAAGTGGTAAGATAAGGTGGTCTTGGCTCTTTGCTAGTGCTTGGATCTCTTAGGCTTTTAACTCTGTATTTGGCTCTGTGCTTCTTATTTAATAAGACCATTTAGAATTTCGTCTACACCTTTTTCTATATTGAACTCTGTAGCTGAAAGATTCTCTGTCCTACTTGGTCCCACCATACCCTACATTCCTTTGTCTTGGTGGTCCCACAGCCACTTATAAAATAATCACTCAGAAGCTCATATTAATTGTAACTGCTTGGCCATTAGCTCAGGCTTATTACTGACTAGCTCTTATGCCTAAATTAACCCATAATTCTTATCTATGTTTAGCCCTGTGACTTGGTACCTTTTCTCATTTCTGCCTTGTCATCTTGCTTCCTCTGTGTCAAGTTGGCAACTCCTGACTCCTCTCCTCTTCCCAGCATTCTCCTAGGCTGCTCACCCTGCCTATACTTCCTGCCTGGCTACTGGCCAATCAGCATTGTATTTATCAACCAATCAGAACAACACATACACAGCATACAGAACAACATCCCACAGTACTTGCCCTTTTCTGTCTAATCAAAAAGGAAGGTTTTAACTTTAATATGGTAAAATTACATATAATAGAACAGTTATCCAGCAAGAATTACAGTTACAATATCTAGTCTATTTATATTTGGCTAATTCAAAAAAATTATATTTATCATATATTTCTGAGTCTAAGATTTTTATATCTAATTTATCTTTTATCATAACTAAGGAAAACTATAATTACTAATATCTAGTCTTCAACTACATCAAAGACCTCAGAAGGATATACTATTACCTAAGTAAACAGGAAGAGCATTGTAAGCAACTTCCAAAAATCTAGAATGACAGAAACAGCTGGCTACCTGGACAGTTACTCAAAGTTCCTCTGCAATGTTGGGGCATCCATCTTCAGCCAATAGGCTTAGAGATTTTTAGTTGCTTCTCCCTGTGTCCTGTAGAACAGTCTCCTCTGTGAAGCAGGAACCTGACAGACCATTTCACCTTCTTTTGGCAAATTCAGTGGTCATTTTTCCATAGGTCCTGTATGTCCAGTGGATACATTTTGTCAAGCAGTTCAGGCAAGAAAAGTTTCTTGCCCAAATGGCTATTTTTACCAAGCAGAAGATAAACTCCATATGGAGTGTCTTCAATGCCCATCCTCCTCTCTGAAGTAAATCAGTGCTTCCAGGAGCAGATGTGTCTCACTGTCCAGAAAGTTTAAGTTTTTAAATTTAAACATTTTAAATGCCATATTGTGTAGGTCTTTGAAGTGTTTGAAGATTACATACCTAATTAAAATATACCTTTATATACCTAAAAGACTTAACTAACATGACTATAAATTTGATTATCCTAGATAACTATTAATCTGTATTTCTTAATTATTCATTACAATTTAAATGAGTTACATAAACATAATACCTTAAGTGAGAATAGAAATATATATACAGTATAACAAAATTAACTTTAAATTTGTAATAAACTAAAATCTATAGCAATGTAAAACATTTAAAACAAACTGTTGCTCTTTAAAAGTAGGTTCAATAATTGACCCTTTTATCCTATCATATGTATAATATCATCCCTTTTCTTCTTCAGAAAGAGATTGCATTTATAATCAACATGCTTTAAATAAAAATAAACATTTATAAACCATATTTTGGGAATTTGAGCGTAGCTTCTCATACTACTTCCTGCTGGTTGAGGGCACTGGCAATCTAACGGGGATCCTGAAAAAAAATTAAGAATTATGGTCAGTCCCTGACTGAACTAGTCTGTAGGGCTGCATTGTCTGAGCCAGTTGCCTTGAAGCCGTTTTGGATGTTGGATCATCTGGGCCATGGTGTCATCAGAGACCTTTCAGGGGATCTTCGATGACCAAACCATATTAGCCTAGAAAAAGCACTCCATATGTTCTCATCTTCTGTGGAAACAAAGCAGAGTCTCCTTTCCAAAGCAACATAACCTCAGATCCAAGTTTTAAAGTCAAGAAACCTTTAAAATATACTTTTTGGTTTAACTGAGTAGCCTTTTCAATCAAATGTCTCTCTCCAGTCAAAAATACCAAAAACATAATCCAGACTCTCTGTGTAATCTTCATCTTTACGTGGCTTAACTTTTATATTACTTTTACTGTCTCTTTGAAGACTTTATTTTTTACAACTATGTCCTTACATAACTTTCTATACTCCTTTTCCTCTCTCTTCCAAGCCTACGAACATTTTTATACATAATGTAAACAATTTAGAGGTTTATTTCATCTGAATCTGTCTTTTTGTGAATCTATTGTTTGAACTGCAGCATGACTAGCACTGAAATGGCAGCTTTGGCTGCTGACTCCGCCCACCTCAGCTTTCCAACATGGAGGAACTACATTTACTGTCAGCTCTGGGGGAACCATGCAGTGGATCTAGTCTTTCATCCAGCAGCATGTAGCCCCAAAACCTTTTCTTTCTTATTTTTTTTTTGTCTGTACTAGTAAAAGGTATATCCACCATGCACCATGCTGCATGGCTTGCAGATGCCACTTTGTACAGTGGCAGGAATCTACCATGCTATACTCAAGCCCATACACCATGAATTCACCATAGTAGCTCAAGTCCACATGCCACAGTATCTCTGTACCTTGGTGTCTCTAGATCTCGACCTGTTTTGGGCTCCTTTATTCTGCGTTTAGAAGGCATTTTTAAACTCTTTTAGGCCTTATGGGAATTCAAGAGCCCCAAATTGGTACACCAAATATATCTGAATGTTTCTCTATCCTGCCTGGTCCCACCAGACCCACATTTCTCTGGCCTGGTGGTTCTACAGTCACTTATGAAATAATCACTCAGAAGTTTTTATTAATTGTAACTGCTCAGCCATTAGCTCAGGCTTATTGCTGACTAGCTCTTACACCTAAATTAACCCATAATTCTTATGTATGTTTAGCCAATGGCTTAGTACCTTTTCTCAGTACTGCCTTGTCATCTTGCTTCCTCTGTGTCAGGCTGGCAGCTCCTGACTCCTCTCCTCTTCCCAGCATTCTCCTAGGCTGCTCACCCTGCCTATACTTCCTGCCTGGCTACTAGCCAATCAGCATTGTATTTATCAACCAATCAGAGCAACACATTCACAGCATACACAAAACATCTCACAGAAGAACTCTCCAGCCCAGGAGCTGGACTGTCATTAAAAAATGTTCTATTACTAATTGTATAAATTCTTTCTGTGATCCTGAAATGTATATACTATCAAACAATCTCCATATGTACTTCTGATAATTGTTCTGATATGTAAATCTTGCTATGTATACAATAAGGCCAATTGATACTGCCCTCTCAGAGCCAAAATGGTTTATAATTGCTCTGATTACAAGTTTAAATATAAGATAACTTCAACTACAGCTTTGGTTCTACAGATGTACACCACTAATTCAGGTATGCTCTTTATCTAACAATGCTTCATTAAAATACAGACTAATCAAATTAATATAATTATTCAAAGATTAATAGATTAAAATTAATGTTCTAAACTAAACTATTCTGTTTTGATAACATAATATTTAGACACACTTAACCACATCATATCATGCTGACTAATGATAGATTTTTATGTTACTCCTCTGCCTTACTATAGATCAAAAGTATTCTGAAATCATATGCAACTACACCTACAGTGTATTTACACTAGTTCTCAGCTTACCATCAATATAGATTATTGATTATTAATTAAAAATATAAATTATTGATTCATTATAAATATTTGTTATTGATATAGATGTTGTTTAAATGTCTATAAATTTGGATTCTTATTAATTTTAAAATCATTACAGTATTACTTATCATTCTTCCAATCATCTTTAGACTTTTAATTTATCCACATTGCTCACCACCCTAAGAGAGATTTACGTGCTTCCATTTTTATTAAATGAAAAAAGGGGAGGTGTTGGAGGCTGTGGGGGTATATAGCAGGTGACAGATAGTGTTCAGCAGGTCTACCCACCAGACAAATGACTCCCTGATGGGAAGCACCATTTGGCAAGGCTGTGAGGTCACTGACTGTAAATGACTGGTTGCTTCTGTCTTGTAATTTTTCTCATGTGTTACTATATCTCTTCCCTAAAAACTGCTATGGGTGTTCTCCCCAAGCTTGTGTGTTTATCTCATGAATATATTCCATCTACTGGGCACACACACAGCTGTGGATGGTCAGGAAGATGATTTCTACTTAAGATGTATAATTTGATGAATAGAATATACTAGGATATGCTTCATAACTAGATCTATTGTCTCATGAGGACTGTGAGACATTTAAAAGCCTATTTTGTTCCTTTAACTCAGACTAACATAAGAAAATAACAATTTCTCCCCAGTCTAAGACAAACTACACACAATCAGCTCATTTTTACCTCAGCTCAGATTCAGGGTGGTCGTGGAGCTGGGTAGTGCATTAGGGGGCAGAGGTGGCTAGAGACCCAGGCTGCTGCTTACCACCCTGCCAGTGCCAGGTTTCCTGAGGAGGCCCAACCCAGAAAATGAACTGTTCTCCATCACAGACATCCTGATGTTTAGAGCCAGGGTGTTCTTAGACTATCAGTGAGACTGGTCTGGGATATCCTGTTGTTACCCAGAGACAGGGTGATCATTCGGCTGGGCAGGGTATCTGAGGCAGGACCCACTAGAGCTCCAGGCCTCTGCACATCTCTCTGTCCTTGGTGAAGGCCTTCCTGCTGACTCAGTAGGTATGACCATCATAACTGTGTCCCGTGAGCAGCTCCACAGCAGTGGTGTCTCCAGTTGGAACCAAGAACCCAAACCAACATCTTGAATCAATCTTCAAACATTTTTTAAAAGGTTCTGACAACAGATACTCCAGACATGCCAGGGCACATTTACCAGAGATACAACCATTCTCTCTGACACTCTTCCATGATTTTCTAACAGCAGGACACCACTCAGGCTTTGGCTTGGGGTGCAGAGGCTGAGGCATTGGTGTGTGAGACTCCTCCTTGGTGGCTGCAGACCAGTGATGTGGCCTGGGGCAGGATACCCAGAGCTGTGGGGGAAGGGTGCAGGAGGAAGCCTCCCCCTCCAGCCCTCTACAGCAGCCATGTGTGCTGCAGCCATCTTGGCTCAACCCTGTCCTCCCTTCATTTTTTTAAGGTCTCAGTCATTCAAAGGAAGAACTAATGGAAAAAATCATATCTGGTCATAAAAGTGGAGGTCACTAATGCTGACAGGATTGCTATTCACGTTTAAGATATGAATACCAACTCATACCAAAGCACTGAAATTAATTTAGAATCTCTCATAGACTCCAAAACACCCATAAGTATAGTTGTCTATGATGGTTTTCATCTTGGATATCACCACAGATTATGAATTGATTTTGATAATTTTAGAAGATAAAGAAATGAGTCAGCGACTGTAGATAACATGTTACAGGTCTCTCATGATTGCTTTGACACAAGCTATGAAACTTCTGGGCACTATAAAGTTTAGCTCTTGGGCTTGCAACAAATCCACTTCCTAGGCATGTAGTTCTTGCTACTGCTGATCCCTCTGTCACTCAAGTAGGCACATTCTCCTTCTCCTCGGATGGAAACCCTAAAACAAAAAACAAACAAATTTCTGCAGAGTCTGCCATTGCATTCACTTCTGCGATGATAGCTCACTCGTCTCCACTACTTATTTATAACATGGATCACATAAAGGCAGAGTCCAGGAGGAATCACCAGCACGAGATTTACACCTAGTGACTTTTGCATTCTCAGGGTTCGATTTGATGACCAGACCTTTCTCATTCATCCATGTTGAACCTTGTACAATGTGTTCAAAGCATTGACTGGTGCTTGCTGCCATGTTCAAGTGAACTTCAGCCATGGGTAGTACCACAAGGGTGATCATTAATCCTATCTTGAAGTATTTTCACATGTATAAAAGTGGGAGAAAATGTACCACTTAATAAATTGCTGAAAGGTCTTTAATAATGAACACGACTGGGGTTGTGTTTTACCCTTCCAGTGAAATGGGTCTGTTCAAAACAGCTATGCTCACATCCAAGAGCTGTCCTGGGTGCTCTTTGATGACAAAACTTGAGAGGAGGTTCCCAAAGACCCTGGAGTCTCTGCTCCTGTGACAGGTGCAGCTGTGCAAACAGCTGTCTGACAAGTCTTACCCCAGCTGTTCTGCAGTGTCTTCCTGGGGTTTCAGAGCCCTTAGTAGCCATCAGCAGTTCTGTCTACATCCCACAAGGGCAGTCATCAACAAGGAAAGATTTTCAAGGGCCATAGCACAAAACATCTACCCCAAGTGCCACCATCATCCTAAAGATTTGGAGTAAAACAACACTAAGTAAATCCAACGGATTAAAATTTGTCGGGATGTGGACTTTACTGGAGATTGACTGTGGCATGTACCACCAACCTACCCTCAGGGCACACCTCAGGCCTAAAGGTTTATGTTCCCAGTACAACTGGCTCCACATGACACCGCCTTTCATCTCTCATAGCCTCAACTCACACACATCACAACACAAGAAAAGAGGTCTGAAAACATACAAGTTGTTGTATTTAGTGTTGTCTGTCCACCTCCAAGAGTGCTCTGATGATTTCCTGTGCAGGCCAATCCAGCGGGCAGAATCATTCTTGTGTCTCTTTAGGAAATCCTGTCATAAAACACAGAAAGCAAATACATGTGTCTCTCAGTTTCAGATGACCACGGAGTCTCTGCCCTACAGCCTCCTCTCAGGATGGCATCAGGTTTGAACTCAGGATAATCGACTAAATAACCCTCAGTTCTCAGTGGATGCATTTTACTACCATAATCCATAGTACACTGACAACCACCCACCCCTCTGCAGCTGAGCAAGGCCCTTGTTAAGCCTGTACTTGCAGCTACTAACAGTTGTCACCCTAAGTATGCAACACCTGCCAGCTTGCACAAAGACTGACATGACCACCATGTCTCTCAGTCAAATATACGTCTGGTCATGCAGGTTGACTATTAGCACTACAGGACAGAATGTCTTTGGAATGTCTCAGGGCTACAGCGAGATGTGTTACCATCACAAATGGACCACACTAACATGTGCCCCATGTCCCTCAATGCCTAGGGTGGGAACTCTCTTCATGCCTCAGCTTTAAGCTCTCTATCTCAAGGCAATACACATTCAACAGAACAAACAACAAACCAATTCCTGATCCTTTCTTACCAGCTCCTCCAGGCTGTCAAATCGAGCTAGATGGGCCTTTCGTGTCATGCAGGAGGTCTGGCTGGATGTCCAGTTACTTGTGAATTCAGAAAAATAAAAACATTTACTTCCAAATTCAATCCAGTCTCTTGAGCAATTGGCACGACCAGCTTCAGGGTTTGTAGTACCTGTTTTTTCCTTTCTCACTAAAATATACAAAATGCAGTGACATATCATAAACAAACATTTCCATGAACTGTCTCTTCGGCTAACCACCCGATCTCAGTGGAGGTGTGTGTTTGTAGCTTTCATTGCTGATCACTAAGAGACGCCTCCTAGCATTGTCGTCTCCAATCAAGAGCCTTCATGTGGGACTCGAAGGAAATGTTTTTCTTTTCTTCTTTGTATTTATAGTTTGGGGACAGAATCTATGTCCTCCTGCCTGGTCCAGATCTCACTCTGTGGACTGTACTCATCTGGATTTTGTAGTATTCCTCCTGGCTGTACCTCTTGAGTGCAGGGACTAAAGACACCAATACCCTGCACAAAATCATAGGTCCTTAAAACATTAGGACTGTCCCTGATTGCTGGAATCCTGCAGGCTCCTTTCCTATAATTCTCCTTCACATCCTCCTCTTGTAATGAGAAAATAAAGAAAGCTCCTTCCTTCTCTGGATTTAACTATGGATAAAATACAAACAAGCAAAACATGACATGGTCAAAATAGGTTTTTGATACCAAAACTTTGATCAAGGACTTCCTCTTATCATGTACACACATTAAATCAATATGAAAATATACTGGCTATCATTAGAGGCTGTCAGAACGGCAATCATCAAGAAATCTCACAACAGATGTTAGAACTCTGGGCAGAAATTGGGACACTTATTCACTGCTGGAGAAAGTATAAACTTATACATCCAGTATGGAATCTCCTTTAAAAATTACAATTAGACCTTTTGTGACAAACCTATGCCACACTCCTGGGCAAATATCGAGAGAACACTACATCATAACACAAAGAAACTTTCACATCCATGCTTATTAATAGGTCCTCTATTTACAATAGTAACAAAATGAACCTGACCTAGATGCCCATCAACTGATTAACAAATCATGAAAATGAATTACATGGACAAACACAATGTTATTCAGACATAACGAAAAATGAAAGTTGCAGCAAAGTGGAGGACCTAGAAAACATAATATTAAATAAGGTCACACAAACTCAGAAAAAGACCCCATGCACTCCCCCATATGCTCATTCTAGCCCATAATGTACAGTGTAAACAGCTGTGAGTATGGGCATAGTGTAACACGGAGAACAAGGAAGAGTAGTGTAAGGTGAAGAGGAAGGACAGAATGTAGCAAAGGGCACATAAGCCATGAATAGGGTTATAAAGAGCATTATTTTTCTACTTTCAACTTTGCTGGTGTCTTTTCTAGTTTGTGGCTGATAAGTCTATAAAAATGTAAATACAGCGAAAGTCTAAAACCATGACCAAAGTTCTTTGGCTTCAGGTTGTCTATTCTAACTGTGCGGAAGTTCAATGAGATACATAGGGTTTGGGACTTGGCAAATGTTGGAGTGTCTGTGTTGATGGAGCTGTGTGATGTGTTAATATGTGAGTCTATTATAGTAAAGTGTTGTGTGTGTGTGTGTGTGTGTGTGTGTGTGTGTGTGTGTGTGTGTGTAAGAAGCCCTAAATGTGTGTGTGCATGAGTGTGTGTAAGAAACCCTGAATGCAGCAAATTTTCAGAGGCCTGCTTAGAAAAATAACAGATATTTTTCTTTCATAACTTTGTCTCTTCATTCAACAGATAAGAATGAATGCATGGCTCCTTTGAAGGGCTATTGAGCCTAGAAACAAGTGATTTGGTAAGAAATAAAGGCTAGAAATCACACACACACACACACACACACACACACACACACACACACACACTTATTTTTAGTGTAGGGCAATTTGTTGTAGCTATTTCCTGTTTTCATATGCAGTACCATGAGGCTTTAATGAAAGGGACAAATGCAACAAAAAAATGAAGGTGACTGTATCTTTTCTTTATCTGAATCTTTTCACAGCTACATAAGAGTTTAGGTTACACTGACTGTCTTCTTAGCAAATGTTTGTCAAAGTTTAGACTTGTGTATTATTCATTGACATGGTTAAAGTTGATTTTATAAAATAATATCATGAATGATTTACTCCAGCTATGGCAGGAAAGCTATACAAGTTTTATCACATTATTCAGAATAGTCTAACAATGAAAGCTTGAGAATCACCTATTTCTGGAACATTCTATTTAATATTTTCAGACCATGGAAGAATATGTTAAACGAAACCATGAGTCATGGTTGGTGTGGTGGTTCTGTACCTTCCCCAACCACATTGCTCTTCACTCCTCTCACTTCCCTTAGCTGCAGCAGGCTCCTTGAGGCTACTCCTTTGAGTTTTCCTTTCCTTGTTCTCTGCCTTCAATAGGTCTCCCAGGAGGACATATGTCTCCTGCATCTCTCCAGAGCTTGCTGAACGCCATCTTCCCAGGGATGCTGAGCCTGGCTTCCTGTGCACACCACAGCCTGTGCTGTTCCTTCACTGCATCTTCCTGCTAGACCCCAAGTTCCCAGAGAACAGGAATTTCCAGTGTGTTTTCTCCCTAGCCCTTCCCACAGTGCCTGGCTCACAGTGGTCAGTAAGTCTAAGTGACAATGTGGATGTGGAGAGAATGCTGCAGAATCTGGAGATGAGTCACTCACCTGACACAGCAATAAAAGCCACAGCAAGGATGATATTCACTGCAAACCAGCAGAAAAGCTTAGCAGGAGACAAAAATAAGATAATTCTGAGACATTTTCCTCGAAGCTTTACACCTGTAAAATATGAATATAAGAATGCCAACTTCTTGAGAAAAATGAAAGAAACTTACAACAAAAACCCACTTTACAACTGCCCACAAGTACCTGAAAGGATACCCAAACCCCCTTTCAGAGAAGGTCCTGGTCCATAAAGGATGCCATGGTGGAAAGAAGACTAGAGAGGATGGAAACAGAACCTTGACCAGGGTCTTCCAGTTCCTGAACTAAGGGTGAATCATCAAATCAAGAAACAAAAGGAGTGAGGAGCAGTGGGAAGCAACAACAACAGTCAGCTGGATTTCTCTCCATAAAGTGTTCTGGTTAGAAGGAGGAACAGACATATAAGGGGGGGAAATCAGTGTAATTAGACATATGAACAAACTAAGAGAAGAGGAAAAATAGAAATGTCTCAATAAACACACCAAAAGTGTGTGAAAATTAGGAATCAGAGGAACTTCCTCAACCCTACAAAAGTTATCCATTAAAAACAAAACAATAAATCCAACTGCAGCTGCTTGATTCCCAAGGCTGCAGTTGAGAATTCTTTCCCAGCCATCAGGAGCAGGAGCAGGATGTCCGCTCACTACTCCAGGATGACTTTTCACAGGAGGGCCTCACCAGGGCAAAGAAATGGGGTCATGTGGCTGGAGAATGCTCAGCAGTTAAGACTATTTGTCTTCCAGAGGACACAGGTTCAATTCCTAGAACCTACAAGGTAGCTTTCAATCATGCCAACTCCAGTTCCAGGAGACCCATAGCCCTCTTCTGGATTCTATAGGCACCAGGCACGCCTGTGATGAACAAATGTGTGGGCAAAACAGCCATATACATAAAATAAGTGTCTTAAAGAAAGTTTGCACTTTTTGAAAACAGATGAAAGTGTTTCTCTTCACAGATGACATGGTTCTAGCTGCATAAAAATTCTAACAACTCTCCAAAAGACTACTGGATGTAAAAAATAAGTTTACAAAGCTGCAGGACACAATGTCAGCATTGCAAAGTCAGGTGAATTTTACTGTCAAAAGGAAGTTAACATGTAAGACTGCACCATTTACACTAATGCCAAAAACTATAAAATTATACATCTAAGAAAAGTTCATAATCAGCATAACAAAAACTACATGTAAAATTATGAAGAAATCAGGACAGGGTTGGAGAGTTGGCTCAGTGGTTAAGAGCACTTGTTGCTCTTGCAGAGGATCTGGGTTTGATTCCAGGACCCACATAGTAGCTTACAACCATCTATAATTCCAGTTTCAGAAATCTGACACCTTTTCTGACCTTGGTGGGCCCTAGGAATGCATGTGATGCATAGACATTTATGCAGGCAAAACACTCATATGCATAAAATTTATTAAATTAAAAAAAAATCAAGGCAGATCTAAACCATAATTGTTGTGGGATGTTTGTTCACACAGACACTCCAAGACTGCCAATAAAGTGTATCATTGAATCATGGGCAGAGCTAGTGACTAGCTGAGCAGAATTAGCCATGGATGTTTTGTAGGACCCAAGATACATAGAGAGAGAGACACAGGAAGTAGTAGGGAGGGGCTAAGAAAAATTCCCAGGCCATTTTGGATTGGTGAAGGCAAGAGACAGGAGGTCATTGGTCTCTTCTCCACTGCTTCTCTGATGAATCAGGTTTTTATACCATTACTTGACTCCCAGGTTTTATTCAATAAAAGAATATAAGTAAATGCTTCACATTAATAAACTGGAACGCTCAATATTGCTCATATGTCAACAATTTCTTAGCAAGTTTATATATGCAACAGTTTCACTTCCTGGGGGATGATTGCCTTCAGAAAAAATAAAATTCATAGCACCAAATTATATGAAAGGTACTATAAAAACCTAGAATAGTCCAAAATGATTCTGAAAAAGAAGGGTCGAATTCAGAGATCATTCTGCCTAATTTCATGACTTATGGGAACCGGAATAAATAAATAGCACCACATCCTGGTGCTAGGAAAAGAGTAGACACTAGAACAATACAGCAGAAGAAAAGACTCCAGAAGTTATATCAAACACACATGGTCAACAGATATTTAACAGAGATGTACAGTTGTTAGACAGGGAAAGGGTGGCATCGCTCCAGTATGTGCTGCTGAAACAACCTGGGGCCTGTCTGCTAAAAACAAGACATGAGATGGACTGTAAACCCAAGCATGAAGCTTAATATTGTTTTTGTTTGGTTGGTTGTTTTGTTTCTTTTTTTGCTTTATCGAGACAGGATTTCTCTGTGTAGCTTTAGAGCCTGTCCTAGAACTCACTCTGTAGACCAGGCTGGCCTTGTAATCACAGAGATCCACCTGCCTCTGCCTCCTGAGTGCTGGGATTAAAGGCTTGAGCCACCACTGCCTGGCCAAAGCTTAATATTGTAAAGTCATTTAATTCCTTATAAAGTGAGGGGAATGTCTGTGAACTTGTCTTGGGCAAAAATCATCTTAGATTCAAGAGAAAATTGACTGTCTAGATAACAGGAGGTTGATGAATTCGATGTTGATGTGACTCTAACGCCCTTCTTTTAGAAAGGCAAAATTGTGCAACCACTGTGAAGCTGATTGTGCAGGAACTGCACAATATGGTGATGTGCCCCCATCCTGCCCACGTATCCCCATACTGAAAGGAAAGCCGGCATTTAAGTTTCAAGAAAAAAGAAAAAGAAACTTTTACATGTATATTTGTAGCAGCTTTAAGGATCACTATTTAAAAAAAAAAAAAAAAAGAAAGAAATTCAACATTTGCAATCATCCAAATGTCCCCAAACTGATGACAAGTTAAACAAACCCTCTCAACAGAAGAAACAAGTTGGACCACAAGCCTGCACTTCCCTTTTTCTCATATAACTTCACCAGGCATTGTCCCAAGGCTTCTGACTCAAAAGTCCTTAAACTAAACTTATCAGCAAGCTTAAAGACAGTGAGCTGTAGGAAACTGTCTCCTTCCTGCTTACTTTGAAAAGAAACCCAAACTGCCACAACTCGCTTCCTCCTCTCACCTCTCTACAAGCTTCCCGCTAGATTTTCTTAACTTCTTTGTGTAACATTTGATTATGTGATGCTTGCACACTTGTGAATTCAGAGCACTGCTCCTGTGCAGGTGGTGCTGTGGGCAGTCTCTTAGAATCTAGCCAGCAGTGTGTCTGACATTGCATGGTCTAAAGAGCAGAATGCAATGCTGCATCAAGGTGAAAGAAGTCAAATGTGAAGTCTCTGCTTCAGGGATCCATTTTGTGACATTCTGGAAAAGTAAGTGTGTAAGGGCTGGGGACAGAAGTACGGAGTGTCTGCAACAGGGAATGGGGAAGTTGGAGTGGGGTAGGGACCAGGGGTCTATATATCCTTTATAAAGTATTGTTTTGTGTTTAATTTATGTGTATGAGTGTTTTGTCTGTATATATGTGTACAACATGCAAGCCTAGTGTTGGGGGTTCTGAAGAGTGTGTTAGATCCCTGGAATTGGAGTTAGGGGTCAGAGTGTGAGCCACCATATGGATGCTGGGAATCAAATCCAGTCCTCTGTAAGAACAATAAATGGTCTTAATGGTTGAGCCAACTCTCCAGCTCCTATAGATCTTGATGAAGAATGCATAATTATATGTTTTCAAAAGTGATGAAGATGTACATCAAGTGAATTATTTTTACTGAATGCAAATTATACTTTTTACAAAGTTTCCACTGGCTTTAACCATTGTGTTTTGCTCGGTTTCACACATCTAAAATACCAGGAAGCCTCTCACATTAACAACAGAGGAGTAGGATTGGAAGGCTTTAAGCACTAAACTGTGGCCTTTGGATTTTGGGTCCACACAAAAACTCTCGACCTTCATTCTTTCCAGTTATACAAAGATATAGAAAGTAGCATAATTCTCACGTGCTCATTTCTAGCTCCAGCACTTCTCAGCATGTGAGCAATCTGGTTTCCCTGGGTTGTACTCCTCATAGCTCCTCATACTCCCTACAGAAAGTAGATCTTGGGAGATTTCTAAACTCCTCCATGTTTTGAATGCATAGACTTCCTTATGGTTACTAGTTTTGCCTCCTACTTTAAAAACCAATCTTTCCAAACCCAAGAAAATAATATAAACTCCTGTCTGATTTTAGCTAGTTCTCTCAAACTAACAAGCAGGGTGGCTCACAACTGTGTAAGTCCAGTTCCAGGGGATTCAACACCTTCTTCTGACTTCTGTGAGCACCAGGCATGCATGTGGTGCTCTAACAGGCAGGCAAAAAACCCTACACATAAAATAAAATAAACTTTAAAAAAATTAACGTGAAAGGGATCTAAAGAATGAAATATAAACGTTTTTCGAAATGAGAGGATACAGTTTTAAAGTAGAAATCTCCAGTGTCCTTTTCCCACCATTTACCACAAAGCAAAACTGCAGATGGATTTGCAGGTGGGATCGATCTTCCATCCCCGCCCTACTGAAAAACCTGGGATACAACAATAGGAACAGAAGGGCTGAGATTGTTCCCCGATGCCACAGAATCATTTAAGGCCAGGAATATACCGGTGCCCTAAGGAAGGGGGAGAATTTCTGACAGCCCCGAAGTCTGTGGAAAAGGCGCAAGTGGGGAGTGGAGGGGAAGGAGGAGGCACGGACTGTGGGAGTCAGGAATGGAGGTGGAGGGGAGGTTTGGAAGAGGGGCACTTTAGGTGTGCACTGGATAGCAGGGATGTGTCTGAGCATGTCTAAGGTCCTCCAAACAATCCCCTGGGAATCCGGGTGCCTACTTTGCTTTACAAACTCAGAAAGGCTGTTTATCTCTCTCCCTGAGGTAGCGGGGTTCTCAGAATCAAGTATGAATGCGAGGCCGGGCAGCGGCAAGTATCTCTACGACTATGGGGAAATGTAATCTGATGGGCGGCTATTTCAATCCTAACTCCTACAACACATCTCTACAGTTCTTTTAATTACTGTGGGTGAGACAAGAGTAAATCGCAGCCTGACAGGCTACTTCTGTCTACACACACATTACCTCACTCTGGCGGAAACCAGTGGATCGAAAATTCCAGATGCCAGAGAAGAGTGCACAAACAAGTTCGCTGTTGGTTGCTCTTTCCAAAACATATTTAAGTAGCATACGCCATGATAGAATAATACAGAATTGCAAGGGTGCTTCCTGCCCACCCTAGAGCTCCGCACCACCCCACCCAGGCTCCCCAGCCTCTAAGGCTTTCTAGAGACACCTGTGGCAGGCTAACACAGGGAGATTCTGCTCCCCTAGGGAAGCTCCCTCACTCCCTTAAACTTAGTTCATTAAATACATACGGTTTTCTCCCACGCCGGCTGGCAAGGAGGAGTCTGCAGGGAACGTTCTCATGGAGGCTTTTCTGCACGTGTGTCTTCCTGCTGGAGCAAACCTGGAATCAATGAGGATGTTTGCAAACCAAAGGTTTGTAGTGAGCTGGTTTTCAAACCAGCTGACTTGGAGGCTCCGCCCAACTGGCCAGTGATTTGTTGTTCCCTCTTGATCAATCCTGAATATATCCACCCTTTCAGCAAATAAAATCTACTTCTGAGAGAAAGAGAGTTAGAAATTTGTGACAGGAAATGTGGTGTACCGTAAAGTAAATAAACGGAACTGAGAATTCTTTTACATTTTGGTAGTGCAAAATGCTTTTTAATTACAGCAACTTCACACACTTTTCTCTTCTGCCAAGGTGGGATGACAGGGGGTGTTTCACTGTCCTGCGGAAACCAACCTAAAAGCAAAAGAACTGCAAAAAGGGGAAATGTAATTGCCAGCCCTTTTCAAGCCTTGTGAGAACGGAAGGTTCTGGAAAGTAACAGCAGCTTCCACAGAACCTTCTACATCGCGGACTGCCTAGCAGTCAGTGACCACAGAGGGTTTGAAAACCTGTAAGTTCAGAGCCATCTTTAACCCTCTTTAAAAAAAATTTATTTTACCTTATGCATATTAGTGTTTTCCGGGTATATATACATGCCTGGAATTCATGTAGGTCAAAGAGAGCATCAGATCTCCTGGAACTAACTGAGCCACCTCTCCAGCCCTCCATCTTTAGCCCTCTCAATACCTGTTTATTGCTCTTCACTGTCTCTGACCTTTATGAACATCAGGTAACTCAGAAGACTAGCTTTCCTTGGAATATATTAACAGACAGACAGCTCCCACAAACCCAAGGGCTAACAGTATCATCAGGTACCATCTGACCCTTGTAAACAAGGTCTCCTCACTTTGCTATAACCCCCTCTCTGATGTTTCCACCATGTGCTTAAAGTGTCTTATGTATGGTTTCCTTTGTTCTGTGACTATAAAGACTCCATTACCACCTTGGAACATGGAATTTGGGGTAATGTAAATCTTGTTCCTGGGCCATGGTCACTCATTTTGTCTCCAGAGTAAACTCTTATCCCTTGAGGTGAGAGTTGTGTTTCTGCATACAACGGACAGTGACTCTCTGGGAGGAGGATAGGAGAGCATATTGTCTCTGTAGGACAAGTGAGGCAGAGAAGAGGTAGACTAGATACCAGCAAGCTGAGAGTGCTTTATTGGAATAGTGAGGGCCCAATCTTACCATGGCATGAGATTGAGCACAATTATAGAAGCTGGGGGGCATGTGTGTGTCTGCGTGTGTGTGTGTGTGTGTGTGTGTGTGTACCAGAGAATTGCAGCTGTGTTTGTGGTCTGATTGGGAGCAGGTTAGTTGTCTTCACTACCCAGGCACGTTGTTTCTGCAGGTGGAGCTGAACAGTCACTCTGAGGCTAAGCGATGCTTTATGGATGGGCTACAGCCTAATGCATCCTGACTCACTTCCTCATGACCTGAGGCTCTTACTCAAAATATCCCAATTCTGGTAGGGTGAAAAAGAAAATGGTGGAGAGGAGTCGTCATTTGGAGAGGCTGCTGGTGGGTCGAAAGGTGGAGTGAGCATGTTGAGGATGCAGAGGGGTCTATCCAGAAAATGTTGTCTGTCTTTCTCTGTGTTTGATTCTTCCTATTGCCTAGCATTTCTCCTTACTAGGCAGGGTTAATTAGCATCAAGTAGAACTCCTCGCCTACAAAAGCTAGCCTTTTTAAAATATAGCCTGTCAGTGGAGGAGGAGGGTGAGCAACTTCAGAGATAGAAGATCAGAGTCTGGCCGGCGGTGGTGGCGCACGCCTTTAATTCCAGCACCTCAGGAGGCAGAGCCAGGCGGATCTCTGTGAGTTCCAGGCCAACCTGGGCTACCAAGTGAGTTCCAGAAAAGGCGCAAAGCTACACAGAGAAACCCTGTCTCGAAAAACCAAAAAAAAAAAAAAAAAAGAAGATCAGAGTCTGATTAGAATAGGGTCTAGAATAGGAATTAGAATAGGTAAATCAGGGTATCAGCCATCAGTGGGGCACGGCTTGTGGGGAAGGAGTGTGTTGGGTTATTGAGAGCCGATTAAAGGATCAAGAAAAGGCAGAAAGAAAGAGGCAAGCCAGATCTTCACACAGGACCATGTTTATATTGGTGGAAAGATAGTAAGGGGGTCATCTCAGATCTCACTCACATGGATGGATGGGCCATATATCCCATGCCATGTGGGTATATGTGCAAATGTCCACACCATGAGGGTGGACAAGAGAAAATTTCCACTGGAAGAAACTGGCTTCTACCTTTATGGGGGCAGAAATGACCTCCATAGAACAGAAGCTGAGACTTTCAGTAGGAATCTATCCAAATGTCTTGTGTGTGCACAGCTGTGGTTTGGAAGGAGTGTCTTGAGTGCACAATGTTGGCCTTGGACATGGTGTTTTTGTTGTTAGAGCAGAGTTAGGATATGACAGGGCAGTCTGTTGGGCCATTTGGTCAGCCTGGTTTTTTGAGAAGAGAGATCAATCATTTGTCTTTTTGTTGTCCCCTGCAGTAGAGAATGGCTGATTGGGAAGGGGAACTGCTTCATTCGGTATCAAAAGGGAGTTCATAATTGATGTTTCCTTTTGGTTAGGAGACCCCTTTCTCTGCAGAGCAAGGTGATGCATGGACTATGTTGGAGACGTATTGGAAACCAGTGTATGTATTGGCTATAAGATAGGAAGAAAAGCAAGTGTGAGAGCCCAGGTGAGGACAGTTATTGCTGCCCTTGGGAAGCTGTGTGAGGGGTAGGGATTTGTCTTCTACTAAGTGTGGGCTTGGGGGAGCAGTGGGGTTCTGCCAGCGCCCATGTCAGAGGAGCTACAGTCAGCATGGAGCTCATGGAGTTCAGTTCACCTAACAGCAAAGCTGAACCCTGGAGAGGCAAAGCCCTGGTGCTCTGAAGAGGAGGCAGGGAAGGGAGAGAGAGATTGTTCCCAGAATGCCCCTTGCTTCTGCAGTGCTTCCTCCTGCCTGCTGCGGCCATGTGCCTGCTGCCTGCTGCGGCCATGTGCCTGCTGCATTCGGCATGGTGTGTTGAAACCCCACTGCTCACTGGGCAGTTTACCTGCAGATCACAATGAAGATGATTTTCATAAGAGCAATGATGATTAGATCAATGATTTAATTGGACTTTCTGGGTTAGCCTAAATATATAGATGGTTAAGACAGGAAAGATGATTAGGGAAGTAGTTTAGGTTATTTGGCCAATTGCTCCAATAAAAGATTTTTTAAAAACCAACTTTATTTTTATTTTTTTTTTTTGTTTGTTTTTTTTGTTTTTCGAGACAGGGTTTCCTCTGGTTTCTCTGTGTAGCTTTGCGCCTTTCCTGGGACTCACTTGGTAGCCCAGGCTGGCCTCGAACTCACAGAGATCCGCCTGGCTCTGCCTCCCGAGTGCTGGGATTAAAGGCGTGCGCCACCACCGCCCGGCTCCAACTTTATTTTATACTAAAAGATACCTTCCTCTTTGTTGGATGCAAAATTTGAAGAGGATAGAAAATGAGAACAAGGAAGTTTTGTGTATTATAGACCCATGATTTCTGTCTGTGGAAAAACAGGCTGATGATCAAAGAAAAAACTATGTCCCTGTACCCAAGGTTAAACCTGAGTTCCTTAGTCATGTAACTTACAGAATTAATCACAGGCCCCAGTATTCACCTTGGAAAAGCCAAGTTGTAAAAGGAAATTAAATGACGCTATTTTGTGCATAGAAATATAGATGATTTACTGACCATGTTGGACACCAAAGTTTAGGGTCTCAAGTGGGCGCCCCAAGAACCCAGACTCCAGTCCAGTTGATGCAACAGCACGAGGATTTATTAAGCTTCTATATAGAAGGGCTCCTCTGCTCCCAAGAGCGAGAGTCACAACTTACTGCAGCCCCATAAGGGCTTTTAAAGGAAAAACCCATAAAACCCACAAGATTACAATTCCCATACAATGTTACTTCGATTGATTTATGTCTAGAAGCTAATTTCATAAAATCATTGTCTGGTTACAGAGTGATCACAGAGGGGGATACAGTTACATCAGTGTGCACATTTTTCTTGAAACCTCAAGGGGGGTATCAGGGCGGGAGTGGAGTTCGCATACAGGTCTCAGTGGTCCTTCCTGGAACACCTGCAACTATCCCAGTCACAGTTGAGCACATCTCTTAACAGAAATCTTTTTACATTGTTATATTGTTACAGGGGTGTTTGAGAAGTGGCTGAGTAAGGTTGCCCTGGGAACTAGATTTTTAGTTTCTCATTTCCTGGTGCTTGAAGTTTCTCTCTTTCTGAGGCTTGGGGGTGTAAGCCTGAGGGGCTAGGGGCTTTCAACCATTCCTTTAATGTTTCTCTGGAGTAAAATCGGGATAGGAAACTGCTACTTTAAAAGCACAAATAGCTCCCTGCCAGTATGAAACACTTAGCTCACTTAAACCTTTGTCAATCAGTAATAAAAGAATCACCTCCATGGGGTGAAGAAGATGTTATGGTGGAAAAATTAATACAAACAAAAATGTTTAACTACTTGTGGGCTTTAAGAAAAACAGGTAACTTGTGATCATAAAGTAATTTCTTCCTATGTAACATTTTAATTTTTTTTAAAAAATATGTAACTTATACTTATGAAGTAATCTTTTCTTTCATAGAAATTTTTGTCTTAGGGGGCTGGAGAGATGGCTCAGAGGTTGAGAGCACTGGCTCCTCTTCCAGGGGTCCTGAGTTCAATTCCTAGCAACCCCATGGTGCCTCATAACCATGTACAATAGGATCTGATGCCCTCTTCTGGCATACATGCGGGGGCGGGAGGGGAGTTTTGTCTTAGGAGGTGTAACAGGAATAAGAGAAAAATAAAAATAGGAGAAGGAAGAATGAGGAAAGATGTGAAGGGAAACATAGGTGAAGAGGTAACAGGAAAAACATCTGAAAGAAGTAGAAGGGAAACAACTGGGAAGAATAAGAAAAGGGAAGCAGCAGGGAAAAGAACAGGACAGGAAGAAAAGAACACAGAGTAGGAAGAAAGACCAGCAGAGGGAGAAACAACAGGAGGAACTGAGCTTTGTCCCTCAGATAAAGTCCACGTGTGGGGGTGCGTCAGTCCAAGAGTTCGCCCATCCCTGTCTCCTCTCCAGTTTCTCTGACTTCCTGGGAGCCTGCTGGGGGCTGGGCCCCTCCACAGCAGGGTTCCCTTGAAATACAGCACATCCTGCTGTGTAAGGGTCTGTTTTAGGCTGTTCCCATCTGTCAACAACCTGGGGCTTCTTCAGGGGTTGATCAAATACATGGGCAAAAGGGTTAGAAGGAGGTCAAGTGTCTCAAAGCAAGAGTGAAGGAGATCAGAGGATGTGCAGGGTTATGGAGAAGTGGTGTGGGGTTAATAGTGGGCATGGCTCCAATATGAGGCTGTGATTTAATATTAGTAAGTCTGGAGAAGCTGTACTCTGCCTA